ATATTAAATTGAAAATAAGCAACATAATGTAATAGAAATTGTAGTTAAGAGCGACTCGTACATATATATTTCTAAACGTGCTGTATGATAAAATGTCATACTATTTGTTTTAGGATGTTCATCATGGAAATGGTACTCAACAAATGTTTTATGACGACCCACGAGTATTATATCTATCGATACACAGACATGACGACGGTAACTTCTTCCCCGGAACTGGCGGACCTACTGAATGCGGCGCCGGTGAGGGTCTCGGTTACAATGTAAACGTGGCATGGTCTGGTGGCCTGAATCCGCCTATGGGTGATGCGGAGTATCTCGCAGCATTCCGCGCGATTGTCATGCCAATTGCCAAGGAGTTCGATCCGGAAATCGTGATCGTCTCGGCTGGTTTCGATGCGGCTGTGGGCCATCCGGCACCATTGGGTGGTTATAAAGTCAGCCCGGCGTGCTTTGGCAGGATGACACAGCAATTACTTAATCTAGCCGACGGGAAGATTGTCCTCGCTCTAGAAGGTGGCTACGATTTAGCGGCGATTTGCGACTCGGCACAAGAATGCGTTCGAGCACTGCTTGGTGATGAACCCAGTCCGCTGCGTGATGAAGAACTTACGAGGATTCCTTGCCAAAATGCCATTGATACGCTCCAAAAGACCATTGCTATTCAGGTAAATCAAATATTGCACAATGTAGTAGTTGAATTTCCTCCTTAGTTCATTATCTACGAAGAACCAAATAATCTTTTTGACTTCCCTTCAGTGTTCCCACTTATATCAGTTTATTGTTCCTGAAACGAGTTAAACGATTCATCTCCTTTTATTTCACAATCTTCAATTCTTTAATCAACCTCTTATAAATCAAGGCATATACGGAATAAAGATCGTATCCAAATCCAAGATTCGCCGACTACGAATCGATCGCTCTCTTTCCTTCAATATTCCTACTTATTCTTTTTAATATAGTTTGACACAAATATGTCAAACCATATTAAGAGTAAAGGTATTATTCTATATTGAATGTTGCGTGTGGTCATTTAGAGTGTGAAAATAAATAAAACAAAAAATATCATTCCATAATACTTAACATAGACAAAAGATCAGATTTAGCATTAATAAATTTGTTGTCATAAAGAATGATGTAAAAATTAAATTTAATTATTTAATATATTATTTCCTAGATGTCACATTGGCCTTGCGTAAAGCTCGCTGCTCATACAGTCGCAATGAGCGCGATAGAGGCGAGCCAAAAGGAACACGACGAAACAGAAACGGTGTCCGCAATGGCCTCTCTGTCTATGCAGCAGCCTACGAACCTCACGTAAGTATCATTTTTTTATTGTTATCTGTTTCTAAATTATTAAATATTAATAAATAATTTATATATACATACATATACGTACGTATCATGTATAAAAATTTATTTAAAACAACAGGACTACGCCAGAACATTCCCGAGAGGTTTCCGAGGAGCCGATGGAACAAGACGAGGCCAAATGAAGTGTACGAAGATCATTCTGCTAGATATAAAAAGCATTAAATTGTATGAAACTGTGTAAATGCTCTTTGGGATCTAGAAGTGCATTTCTCAGTGCAAATCGAGGGACTCACCATCGTCACGCATGGTTACCGTGACAGGCGCACGGTCAGCCACAAATGTTTCACTTGCGGAAACATGATCGACGACATGTGCAGATTCATGCACAGTCCCGAATTTAAGATTTTCAATTTTTTCAAGTAAGATCATATATAAACAACGGCCAAGTAATAAGGAAGAAGTGATCTGTAATGTTTCAGGAGGCTGACGACAATTTGCGATGATACGTCGCAAAGTTGTCGATCTCCTTTTCTTTATTTCTTTTTTGTGTTAGATGCGAAAAGTTTGTGAGTTTTGCAAATGTTTTTATTGCTCTTCGCGCGTTCGATGCGCGAGGTTGTTGTATAGTTAGCTAGATGACAAATTGTATTTGTCCATTCTATAGATTTCATTTTTTATTGTGAAACACAAGATTTGTAATCTTTTTAACGAATTTAACATTGCTGTTAACATTGTTGAAATAAATTCGAGCGCGCTAAGTTTTCGCCCACCAATTGGATACCGCTTGATAAATTTTCGATCCCAGTGTCTTATCAACGAACAACGAATGGTTTCGAGACTCGATGTAAAAACTGGAACGGAGACATTTTGTAATATTATTAACAAAACCACCTTGTCTGGATAGTTCCATTTGATAATTGTGGAAAAAGAATTGTAGATCAAGCGCATCATCATTTGATGACTTGGTGGGAAAAAATTGCGAATACACGCGTGTTATTCGAAAATGGACATCCACAAATACTTTGTTGACATTATTGATATAAGTGGTAAAGTGGTCGAATTTTCTCACAACTGTATGTAAAAAAGTCTGATGCATCGTGTTGCCTTGAATAATTCGCAGGAAGAATTAATTATTCATGATAATCCGTATATATATTTTTGAATGCTAATTATGACCTCGGGCGTCTACTTAGAACACTTTCAACGAGCCGTATTTTATCGAAACATTCAGGGAGATAAGTACAGGGAATTTGAGAAAGAGCTGTGTTAACACGACAAATGTATATCTCGAATCCTAGAGATTCTTTTTGTATTGCGCCTATTGTTACGAAAGACGCATTATAGATTGTACATCAATCACGAGGAATGCATGATTTTTCGGTACAAACGATTTGTGACTACGACAGTATTGGCACAAGCGTCTTTGTTTGCGAAATCACTTTTCTAAGATTAAAAATGTATTTCCTATAAACCATCAAAGAAGAAAAATAAAGATGGTAAAATAGCGAGCTTGATGGCTAAGAAACAGCTTAAATATAATCGTTGTGTATAATCGCTCGCTGTTTCTAATTTCTCTTTCATATGGATGAAATCAAGAGAAAGAAAAATACACAGTTCCGATAATATAAATATATATGTGTGTATATATATATATATATATATATATATATACGATTAAAAAATTAAATATTTTATATACGGAAATTCTCTTTTCATGGATTCGAAGAGATTTCCCATTGAAAATAACAATTTGATAAAATGTGTAAAAAATTAGAGAAAAGAAAGCGACACATTGACACATAAGATAATTCCACGTCGAGCGCTTCTTTCTGAATAAATAATGCGCGAATAATGGGACGCGAGATACACAGATCTTTTCCCCGGAGGAAGTACCAGACTATCTAATCGGTGTGCATATTAAAAAAGAAATGGTCTCCGGATTTCCAGAGAGATTTCCGCGTGTGCGTCAGGCCTCGCTAGAAGAGTTCGTGCAATAAGAACGATTGGACAACCGTGTATTTATAAAAGACAGTAGCGTTTAGATCTACTTTTTCCGCCTTCAACACGCGCGATCTATACTTGGTGGAGACGCGCGCGTCGCGCATCGTGCTGGTCACTAGCGCTTTCATTGTCCTCTCGTCGTCCGATTCGCTTTCCCTGTTCTTCGGGCATTCAGAATGTACGATGTCGGCGAAAGAGCTTCGCAGTGCGTGAACACTTTCTCGAATCGAGGCGATTTACGCGACTTAGGCGACAAAAATCGTGATAACGTTAAAGAAAAAAAATAAAAGGAAAAAAAAGAAAAAGTACGATGTTTAGATCCTAAATATCATGTCGTGTGCGCGATGCAGACGTATATATGCGATGCTACGTGCACGCGGTGAAAACGTGACAGGACATACTCATCGTAACGAGATACTGAGAGATGCCATGACACGTCGACGCAAGTTGCTTCGCGACCAATTTGTCTGTTATCAGATAATGCGTGATAATTCTTACTCCCTCCACAGTTGAGAAAACGAGATGATGACTCAAGATCGGAATTGACAGGTTTTATCTCTGGATTTTGTTGCTATTACATTTATAACAACAAATTTAGCTTGAGCTTATGTTGCAATTTGTATAATTATTTTGAACTTTAATTATGTAATATGTACATAAACGGATACTTATTTGTATATAAAATTGATAATGTCAATGAAACGTAATGTACATTGATTATGAAATTAAGAATTTAAACTAAGTTGGAAATTATTAGGGAGATTAAAGTTTGCATAGTTGGGCGTTTCTCTTCGAAATTTCTAAAGGCATGGCTCGAAGCTCTTACAAGTATTCGCTGCATAGAATTTCTCGTCTGTCTGTTACGTAAATCACTGCCAACGACAATTATACGGCATGGTCACATATTTCCACGAGCACGTGCAGTCGCATTGATACACCGTTAAATATATGTTGTTAATGTTTTCAAGTGCGAGAGCGATACGCAGAACGTACCGGGAGTATCGTTCTGACGAGATTTCGACACATGGTTTCTTGCTGCGAATAAAGGCTGGTGTGATTTTTGTGATATTTTGTAAAAAGAAAAAGCTAAGCTATATATGGTTAATTAAGTGTATACGTCGCGGGAAGGTATGTGTAAGAGAAGTAGGAGGAGAGGTAAATATATAATTCACAGATACAAGCATTTATTTTTGTGTCATGCATTTTATGGAGAAAAGAAAAGGATTTTAAAAAAAGGAATAAAAATGAATATAAGAGGAGAGTCTATTAATAAACGAATTACATGAGGATGCATATATATATATATATATCGTTCGTCATGCAAGAAATAAAAATATATATCTATAATGCTATAAATATAAATATATATATATATATATATATAATATATTAAATATACCGATATATGTACATTGTATATCCGTGTATCGCAAGAATCTCAAGTGTCTGTTAAATGTTTGTCCCGATAAAAAAAATTCGCTGAGGAAACGCATAAAGATTGACTCGATGTATATTAAATATAGAGATACGAGTCCAGCCTATGTGTGTATACAGTAAATTAATTAATAATGCGAGAATACAAGGGAAAAAGGAAAGGGAAAACGAAAACGATGATTCTCTCGTAGGCGCACCAGTCTGTTAATGAGTTTGAAGTTGGCAAACGATTCTATTATAGCATTATCAAAGGTAACTGTAGACAGAAAGATGCGTGTTTATCTGTTTAAGAGCGAGTCGACCATCAGCGGCATCGTCTCATCCGCAGTTGTCGCATCGAACAAAGTGAAGGGCAAGTGTGGCTCGCTCTCACTCGAGAGGATAAGCTTATTTGAAATTTACGGAAAGATATCGCGTATAATTCTTATCGCGGGCCTACAAACGTCACATCCTGATTATCGTTTTTTATTCGCGATATTCCCGTCTGCCCTTCCCCGCATGAATGCTTCATTTTTATCATTATAGAATTATCGTGCGATCATATCAAGCAAATTGAAACATCAGAAAGATGTAGATCTGCATTCGTATCTTAGTAAAATTATTTTTTAAAAAGACACACTAGATTTTGACTGAAGGATTACATAAAAATTATAATAGCATTCGATCAAATCTAATGCCAAATATAGAATATCGATGCAAGACGTAAACGTTTCAAACGTTGTTTAAAGTAGCGGTCTTGTATTCATATCTCATTTTAAATGTTAAATGTGGCTGACGTGTAATTCGTGTTTGAGATAAGAAGTAAAGGTCTTCTCAAGGTCTCTTATAAAGCAAGATTCACATTTAAATTCACATTTAGCCGTGCATACGTGATATAAATGCAGATTTTAATCTTTTAAAATTTTGCGTCGCTTGAGTAGAATCGATGACGAATTTCATTTGGAGTAAAAAGAGGAGAGCGAGAAACTTACGACATTCCGGTATCATCACTCATGGCAAGTTGATACAAACTAGATGTAAATGACTATTAAGTTCTTGTCCAAACGCCGAGTATAAATGTGTATTTTAACAGAGTTCTACTGTTACGTTAATACACACACACACACACACACACACATACATACACACACACACACACACACACACACACACACACACACACACACACGAATATATTGTCTATATTGCATAAGCTTAATGTAATAGTCATAAATTTTTATGTATATAAATGTACCTCTATAAAACTAATTTTAAATAAAAGTATAGTCATTGTGTTAAATATTTATTCGGTTCCTCGATGTATATCCTTGAATGCTTCAATTAATTATGCAATGTGACAGAATTCGAAGATTATATGATGAACTAATTTTTACAATTTGATAACTTGTAAATAATTACAGGATTTTATTGAATCGCAAATTATTCGTAATATCGAACGTTATGTAAAAGGTAATTAAGAAAAGTTTAAACGATAGCACGATAGTACGATACGTATCTGTATATTTCAGAATAGACACACAATCCAGAGCTCTTATAGACATTCGAATTTCATACAACGTAGTGACAAACTGCTCTACTTATATCACCACTGTTAAGGGTATAATTGAAAACTTATAGTGAATTAAATTACAGTCAGAATCGCGGTAGCACGAATCGCAATCGCAATCAGAAAAAAAAGCGCATCAATTAAAATGCCGTTTTTACGTATTTTAAGAAATATATTTATTAGATATTCCCACTTTTGTGAGGCGTTCAAATTCTCATAAAGCTTATATTCATGTAATAGAGCGGTTTCAATATATACAGCGGTGTGAAAACACATTCTATGAGAAAAATGTCACTACAATGAATTAATGTACATTCTGTCGCTCATAATATGAGTAATAATTGGATTTTCGATTGAAAATTTTGCAACTTTCAGATAATACCTAAAGATAAAAAATAACAGAAATTTGCACACAATTTTTAAAAGATACAATATTTTTACAGCAATTACTTCAATTTAAAAATATAGCTTTTCAACAAGAAAACTAGCGATATTTAAAATATTGAAGAATTACGTTGTACATTCGAGTAAATAAAAAGGATTATCTTTAACAATAATTTATGTTAATTGGGAAACCGCAAGTATACATCATGATACTTCATTCAACTTATAAGTATTGAATTCTAGGCAGACGATGATTGAGATATACATTTTGTCGCAGTAAAACAGTGCAGATCAAGAAATAAATGATAATTTAGCAGAATTTCCATCGATTTCCACATTCGTTACACAGAACAAAGGTGGTCATAGGTTCATCGGCTGAACGTGTTTGCACTTGATTATACGTGCAATTGCGTTTCTTGCATTTGCCGCATTTGAGCAAGTCGGTCTTGGTTCCCTGCACGGTAGCGAGTTGCGCGTCGTTAATGGCTTCTTTCTTGAACTGCTCACGTAACTGTTTGATCTCATCACTAGCCATCTCCTCTGCCGTCATCACCGCTAACCGAGCAGGTGTGATTGCACCAACTAGGAAGTTGGTTCGTAGATTGGGATTCTTCACATCGCGCAGATTGGCAACTCTACTGCGTACCTGATATTTGAATGTAAATTGTAAATATATTGATGAAAGTAGCGTAGACATCGATATTAATTACAAGAGAAATTCTATATGCAATACAATGGAATGTATGCTTGAATGTACCCTATTTTTGTATCTGTTATCAGTATTTTTAAATTCCGCGTAGATCGCCTCCTCCAATTCTTCCGCCAATTCTTCCGGACTGGCACAGCCATCTATGACTTTTCCATCGACGCGTAAAGCTGCTGCTAATAGTTCTCTACATTTTAATCTGACTGCATCTGTTGTGGTAGGAGCTGGAAAAGATGACTGTTTCCTTTGAATATCCTTGATTGGTTTCTCCTCTTTCATTTTTATATCGGCAGCATCAGTCGTATCTTTTTCTTTTTTCTGATCATTCTCCTCCTTTATTTTCTCCAACTTCTCGTCTTTCTTCTTTGAACTACTTGACGATGTAGAATCTTTCTCTTTATTTGATCCTAATACATATATGTACAAATTCCACATGAATTATATGTATAAATATCAAAATAAAATTAATATTAAAATCCATTCTCTGTTATTGTACATATACATACCAGATAAAAACTTTTTCCAATTCTTGATAAGAGTTTTCGATAAAGAAATAACTTCTTCATCTCTGCTAGATTTCCTCAAAGCATTCACAGTCATTCCAATGCGTGTTTTAGTCAAAAGCTCCAAATCAACTGGTAACTTTTGTAATATCTTGAGCAACTCCAAAGCCTGTTCCTGACCCTGGATCAAAGATCACATCACAACTGTTGTAATACACGCAGTAAGAGTTCTTATTATAATACTGACAATTACATTTATATATATATTGACATTTTTATATTTTCTCACTCTTCAAGAACAACATAATAAAACAAACTTTCCAGTACGTCCACACAATAAATGGTTCGACTCGTTCATAATAAAAACGCTATCGCGACGAAATCGCGACGAAGAAATAAATATCGAGAAGTACACGCGGAGTTAATTGGACGCCACGTCGTGTTATCGCATGTAAACAAATCACCATTCACCGCGTTGTCGCCGCGACGACCTCGCTCGCGCGGCACTGCCGCGTTCACGCGCGTCGATAACAGCGGCAAGTGCTCGACGTTACGTCGAGAGGGGAAGTAGCACGCCTCGCCTCGCCTCGCTTTGCCTTGCCTTGCCTTGCCTTGCTTCCCCGCGGAGGAAGACCCCAGCCGTCTTAACGCGCGCGCGCTCCCGGGCCAGGGGATATACTGCGAGCTTTAGTTTACTCACTTATTACTCACCGTCCCGTCACCGCTCGACATCTTGTTGAGCTTCTTCTGGATGCGTAACACCTCTTCCTCGGCGCTCATCGTCGGCGACCGTACAGCTCGCTGTACGAAATCAGTTATAAACAGGAGCGTATTGCGGGCAACAAAAAGTATGCTCGTCGACGCTCACGCTCACGACCGGATCTCGCGATCGTTGGCCCGCGACGCGAGGCGGCAAACTCGAAGGCGAATAGAGCGCGAAGCGGGTCAGCCTGTCACGGTGGCGCCATCTGCGCACACTTTCTAGTAAGACCTTTTAAAACACACGTCGTCGTTTGTAAATATACTATACTATACAGTTTATTATTTCAATTGAAATCGACAGACACCCTTTATAAACGTGATTTATATCGATCATTTAATACATATTAACTAGTTATTTTTTATTAAATTTTTCTCATATCAATGTATGTAAATGATAACATGCTAAGTCGGTACAATACGTACCAAGATATTGTATTGTACTCACTTAGTGTGCTATTGTTTACACATCGTTAATATAAAGATAATTCAATAAAACACTAGTTACTAGTTAGTTAGTAGTAGTTAGTATCAAATGTATATATCAAATACTTGGTATAAACTAAGGTATAATCTATTCTTTGTATTCTTTTCTAATAAAAATCACAAAACAGCCATTTTTGATTGGTCCGCCATTTTGTAATAGTTCTCACCTATTTCGAATACTTATATTCGTGTTAATTTAATTTAAACAATTAGAAAATAAATATTTTAAAGGTATTAAATAGATTTTCCCTATATTATATATTCAAATAATGCACAACTAATAAAATTATTCATATTAACATCTTTTCTTTATTAAAATTATGTTTGACATTCAAATTTAAAGAAAAAAAATAAAATTCTTTTTGTTTCTAAAATTTATTTTAAAATACATTACATGCATAGATTTAGAATCGTATTTTTTATATTTTTTTGGTAAATTTTCTTTTAGCAGAAACTTTTAATAAGTATGATAATCTAAATATGAATGATTTTGTGACAATTTTTGTACATAATGACAATCTAAGATATCCATTTTTTTAATTTTTCAATTTTGTCCTACACAGTTTCTCTGAATGCATTAAGATAGAATTAGAGATGCATGAAGATAAAAAAAGAAAAACACAATGTATATACACGCACGCATCCACTCGCATTCGGATCCGACATAGTTTTGATTTTTAACTTTTTAGGATTGATTTTGTATGATTTAAATTTAAAAAGACAAAGGAAAATCATTTCTTTCTACACTTCTTTTAGAAAAAAGTAAAGAAAATTATAAACAGTTATTACTTTTTTGGTCAAAAATTGGCAAGAGGGGAAGAAAAAAACAGAAAACGATATGTATCAACATTTAAACTAATATAATAAAAATATAATTAAGGAATAAGTTTAATAAAATTAAAAATAACTAAAATTAAATGTATTTCTTAATACAATTCTTTTGGGAAACTTTTAGGTCAGTTGTGTGTGTGTAAATTATATTTGTTCTATTATGCATATAGGTATACGTATACAACATGTATTCTATTATTTATGCATTTATAATACATTTTTTATAAAAAATTAAATTCTATTATTTTAGGTTGTATGTGAATTTGTCTATGATAACATTATAAATGGTGTTCGTGTACTGTCAAATAAAGACACTTTGAGCTTATGAGGCATCATATAACAAACGTTCTACAAAACATTTATTTACTACTACATCAATAAGTTATTGCACAAAATCTCTTTGATAGACAATTATCGCTACGCTATTCAAAGGTCCTCATTTAACACGTAAGTGTTCGCACCTAAGGCATTATATGTCCAGAAGCGAAGCGACACTGGCGAAGACGGCGAGGAAATGTCTTCCTTTCACCTCTACTGCATCGCGCATCAGAGATCTTGCGCGAATCCGATATCGTGAAGGACTGGAAATGCGCCCGCGGTTCCGGTTGGTGGGGCCCAACATCGGTTGGTGGCATGTCCCACGAACTGTGCTGGCAGTACGGGAGACGACCCATGAAAGTAACAGTGCACCTTCCGTCCACCTTTGCCAGGCTTGCGACGCGTTCTCCAGAGACAGACCGAGTCAGTCGTATGCCCATCGTCCTGGAGAACGGTGCTCGCGTTTCGTCCGGCAGGTATCAAAAGATAGGACGCGTCGTCCTCTCAGTGTTATCGTACAAATACAAGATCGCGAGTGCAACGACGATCACATATATCGCTGCTGTGGACCCGTGCATCATAAACAGATGCACTTGGCGCGCGATATGTGCAAGCTGAGAATCTCCTGACTCAAGATCGCGACTAAATCATTGGGGAATTAGGAGAAGCGACAGACATGGATTGGGTAAGAGCGGCCTCACCTTCGAATCAGTGATAAATCGATTTATCAAGCGATTCCTTTACGGAAATCAACGGAGACTTCTGGAATTCTGATTTCTTGGAAATGTTAGAGATGTCAAATTCCAAACTAAAATAACATTATTTATCTAATTATATAAAAACATTTTTTAATTTAAATAGAAATTGCTTAATTTAGTTCTATACGTCTACAGAAAATTGATTCTGAGAATATCATATGTGATTTCTCTGGAATCTGCTTAAGTATCAAACGTCAAATGTCACGCTAGATGCTGAAACAGAATATATTATGATTATAGAGAGAACAATTTTTAATTTTATTTTTAATAAAATCCGCGATTTATTTATTTATTTTTTTATACAACGTTTGCGAAAGATTCTGAGAATATCGATATTCATTTTTATCTGAATAATCAAGCTAAAATTAAACTTACTATGTAATTAGAACAAGAATTAGAAACGTCCATTGACGAATAGAATTTCACTTTTAGAGATAAGTTATTCTCAATCTAAAGAAAATAAAGAATCCTCAATCTCTTTGAGATTTTTTTTTTAACAATAACTTTACAATGGTAATATGCGATACAATCAAAATCAATTTTTATACAATCAAAATCAATTTTTTGTACAATAAAATTTTATTTATGTTTTTTACAATTATCAAAAAGATACACGTAATTTTCATTTTCGTCTAAATATCTATATTCTACTATAGCGACCACAAAATCTCCACGTTAATCTTCTCTATAATTATTTTTTATCTTAAAAAAAGTATATCTAGGAATAAAAATAGCCACGATTTTGTCATGAAAACATTATTTGCAAATTTGCAAATTAAACAAGTTATATATCTTTATAGGTCGATCCGAGAAAAAAACTTTAATTCATCGATCTTTTGCATAATTTTTTTTTACGACGACGACAATCGCACGATGCGTAATCAATAATTTCTACCGCTTGCTAGAAGTAGTATGGAATCCTCGAGTGCTAACGACGGGCACTCTCGGAAAAGTAAGACAAGGACTACGCCTAGGCGGGAAGTGCGGACTTTCCTGCGCGAGATGTATGTTATCTCCGTAATCAAACATGGACGGCGATGCTTGCGCCCGGCCGTTTCAAGATTCCGCGAAAGAAATAATGTTTATTTGGAAACTACGGAGCCTCCGCGAGCGGAAGAAGTTACGTTTACGCTTGAATCCGCGTAATTATGCCTCGTTACCCGCGCGACTCGCAATCGCGCTTCTCACGGGAGTGTGTTACTGGGACGTGCGATGGATGCGATGGATCGAGTTCTGACCTGAGCGAGCGACGATCGAAATTGCATCAACATTAATCAGAAATCGCACCCTGATTGCGGTCGCGACCGCGATTTGATGTCCTACATTTCCGCGCGCAACGCAATCGATTTTGACGTGACTCGATGAGGTGAGGTAAAAGCTGCGCGTCCGAGGCGGGAGATCGAATTCCAAAAGGAAAGATCTGTATTAGCGTTGAGTATAATATGCAGGCGAGGGAAACATTTGACTTGCATATTCGCCCCGCGGTATCAAAACGCGATTGTAAACGCGAGTGGCGAGGAAAAGAAACCTTGAGAACTGAACGAGAAGTGTAAACTTATGGGCACGTCTGTAGGCGTAGGCGCTCGCTCCTTCTTTTTTTCTTCTTTCTTTTTTTTTTCTTTTTTGATTCTTTGCATCTCACTCAGTCACGCTTTCAACGAGTCCACGGCTTTAATGAGCACGAAAGTGAGAAGGAATGGAAGGGAGATGAGGAGGGAAAGGAATATCTTCTGCGAGCGCGATTCTTTTATCATAATTTTAATTTAGATTAATTAATTTAATTAAAGTTTGAAAGAAAGTAACAACGTCGTTATAAACTGAAAAATACTTTCAGGAGTTTTGGGCTTTGAATTTTTTAAAAGTAATCAAATGCATGGAATGTATTTAGCAATGGAATAAAAATACATTTTTCTAAAAGCAAAGATGGAAAGCGAAAGATAACGTCACGTAATACCAGTACCAGTTTATATTCTAATATTAATTAATTTATATATTTACTTTTAATATACTTTTTTAAATAAATTTATTTTGATTTTTAGTTATACTTGTTATTGTTAACAATTTTTTATACTTGTAATTAGAGTTATTGCAGTTGAAATATCAAGTATTGCAGATACAGCGATAAAAGTAGCACTACCGGTAATTTTAATTAATTCCTGATCAAATTTTAAACAGCGAAAGTGAAATTGGATTTGCTCGCGTAATCTCATTTTAGCATATTTCAACATATTTTAACATATGCGTGAAATATTACTACTTTATATAGCGATCAATGAACCCACTTGATCGAAATCGTTGCGTATTCTTTATTTTTAAATAAATTTTATCTTTCCGTAAAAGATAATTTTTCGCAATATTTAAAGACTTAAGAATTCATTATTTCATATTCGAGATGCTATTAATTATTTTTTTCTCAACACGCGTCACGCTTTGCATATATATATAGCATCGAAAAATTTATTATATAATTATTATAATGTACTTATTATAATGTACTTATTATAAATAATTTATTATAAAAATTTAAACCCAAGTTTTTTTATTCAAATTATCATATTACGTCACCATTAAATTTTAAATGTTTATTTTTTTTCCAAAGATATATGTATCAAGATATATATTTTTCGCGTTTCTCTTCCCAAACCTGTCTTTTACCTGTTTAAACGTGAAACATCGAACGGATAGTGGAGGATCGCGTATGTTGCGGTATTAATTCGCCCACTTATTACGACGTAATAATCTAGGAAAGGATATCATCGTAATCTAGAAGGTGCTGGTAAGAGAAACCTCTTACCGCATTCCTCCCAACGATGGTAGATTAATGTTGCGGCAGCGGCGGCGCAACTTCTCAGGATCTACGCGCGATCGAATGTATCTCAAGGCGCGAGCGGGACGAGCTGCATGGAAGAGATCATTTGAGGGCACGATCTACGCGCATATCGAATACCTGGGAACCGACCGTCGGCTTCCTCCCGACGATGGAAGGAAGGAGGGGCTCTCACCTCGAGCACCTCCCGACTCCCCTTACAGTGCACTCGCAATGCACTCCACTTTAAGTCGTTGCGCACCGCAAAGAAGGAGCGAGCGCGTGTGATTTTGCAATTCGATTGCAAAATCGAATCAACCGGGAGGTCGACAACAGTCCTCCCGTCCTCCTCTTCGACAGATCAACGCGGGCAATTTGCGTTTGGGCAAGCCGCGAGAAAAATTGCGCCTTAACTTATCCAGCGGAAAATTAGATACGAACTGTCACGGACTTAGTTGATTTCGTTTTTTTTTTAGTTGATTTCAATTATTCAGGAACATTACATCAATTATTTAAATCTATAACTTCTTTGCCTTTCCAGAGTTTTCAATTATTTACAGCAAGATGATAATAATTATTTAAACAAAGTAGATTTCTTTTTCCTCGCCCTTGAACTATCGAACTAAAAACTCTAATTATAGCCATCGAAAAATAAAAATAAATTTTTCGAAATTTGTCGATCACAATACATTTTATATTTCGATCACAGAATTTCTTCTTGAGGGAACTCGTTTCTCTAGGAAAAAATTAATTTACTTAGCTCATTTTATCTCTAAAGGAATTTGTGACTTGTAAATTCTTTTTTGATAATTAAACCGGTTTGAAAATTAAAAACACTCCCTTATCTTTCGGCTTGAGGACCGTGCGTCATCATGCAGCTTCCGAAGTGAAAGCAAACTTGCACTTCATTGCGCCGGGAGGGATCGAGACGCTGGTGATTTTAATGCCTGTAAAGACCGACCTTCGCAGTTGTTCACGATGACAATTTGACCTTCGTCCAGTCCAATGGCTATATTTGCGTGCCCACGAGACACGGGAGGAATGCGTGAAAGGAGCTGAGATTCCGGAATGAGAAGTTTTCTTAGGGAAAAAAAAAAAAAATGGACAATCGGAGACAGAAATTGAAATGAGAGACATTCGGCGATTGGAAGGTCGATCAGTGGTCGACCTTTCGCGAAGTCGAACGTGACTCGAGGAGAAAATTTTCCCCGATGTTAAACGCAACTTTATTACCAGTTGCTCGGAATGAACGATGCTTATTATACTTTTACTTTATATATTTATTTTTGATAATATTAACTTATAATTATTTAATATTTAACATTTATTTTACTTTAATATGTATTTTAATATTCTACTAAAATAATTTTTTTAACTGAAGGTTATTTATAATTAATTAATACGATATGGTAATTTATATGAAAATTAAGAAAATTCAAATTTTAATCTTACAGTTGTGAGTAAATTTTACAAGTTGATATAAGTTTCAAATTTTTAAAATTGCAATTGTATATAATACATATAAAAAAGAGACACGTTTTGCTTATTACATTCTTTCTTGATTCTTTCGACGATTTTTTGCTGAAAATTGTTAAATAGAAGTGATATTTTTAGATGAAAACATCTCTTAAATCATCTTCTCGCGAGAACTCTGGCATTATCGTCATATTATATTCTTATTCGTTTATCAATATTCGAAAACTCTGACATCACGTCTATATTAATCTTCTCCAAAAACGCGGTAGAAAGCATTTCTTAATTGACAACAAGTTACTTCACAGCTGCATGGATATGCAAAGTATTTTATTAAAGAGAAAATACTCGGAATCTCAATTTATTTTCAAGAATATTCAATTAAGAAGAAACTTAATTGTTTCTTACGCGTTTTCGTAGAGATAAATATTCTGTAAATATTAGAATTGAGGCAGAGTTGAAATTAAACACTTTCTGCTGCCTGCTTTTAAGTGGGACGAAAAGTTAACGGATCGTCAACTGTGGCGCGAATCGTTTCGTCGACAAAGAAGACTTAATTGCCGGCATAATCGGTCTATTAATTCTCTATGAGAAAGAGAGCGACAGTCTGAATGCCCCGCGGGCAAACTCTGTGGAAAGTAAAAGTGA